AACCGATTATTTATTGAGTCACTTCTCCCCATAATACATCGTTGGCTCGTAGACCTCGGAGATTTTTGCTTATCTTTTCTCTATGCATACTATAACCAGACTAACCTTCACGGAATCAGGTCTCTCGAAAATGAGCTCTTAATTCTCACAGAGTTGCCGTCTTATACTCCGAAGCTTTTTGTTTGCTTAACCCCGTTTCTCGGACAATCCCGTTTTCGGTGGTTGAGCGAGGCGAGCTTGATCAGCTGAGTCGTGCTTCCCATAGGTTTGTTTGCATAACTCCAATTGACTCAAGTCGGTGTACCGGTCGGAGGTTCCTCTGGACACGGCTTGTTTAGACCCCCAAAACATGCCCATGCGTAGCCCTCAAGAATCGGCCTTTTTTCATCGCCTCCGGGTTTCCAAGACTCCCTTGGAAGCTTGATACTGGCATACCTTTCATTTCGTTTGAAAAGAGCTGGCTTGACCCCGCTTCCGAAACACGGGTTGGCGCTGCTCACTAGAGCCACCGGTGAAACGTCCGTGAATGGGCCCAGTTAACGATCCGAGGCTGGAAGAACGGTAACAGAGGCCGCGGTGCGCCGGGCACGTGTCTTGAAGTCGCCATGGCAACTTGACGTGGCTGCGAAACCGAGGTCGAGGCAACTCTGCTTGTGCCACCTTTGCAATTACAGAGTCCACATTAGCTTGTGCTTAGATTCATGCCTTGGGGATACGATGCTGAGCGCTGACTCCTCTTTTGCGGCGCTGGATAGCCGGCTCGGGCGCATCTTCAGGAGGACTCTTTGGCCAAAGGAAACACTTGGAACCTCTTCACCTACCACTTGGTGGGATTAAAGCAGCCGGTCATCGCTTTCTGCCCCCCAGGCCTTGTCTCCCGACCGTGCCGAGAAGGCCCTAGATACGCTAAGGGGCGACATTAAGAATGGCGAAATCGATGCCATCGACAAGCACTCGTTCGGCCTAGTGCAGACCTCTTGTCGGCACCCGCTTGTCGGCATGTGCACACTGGACCCTCTGCTCGCCCCCTCCAGGAGAGGGCGTGACCCGGGCGGCCAGACGCTCTCGTTTGTGAACTTTTATGACATCTAAAGGCAACGAAGGGTCTTTTCAGCGTATCCATCTTCTGCCTTTGTGTGGTTGTGCGTTAACATACATGTTTGGACGTAGGTAAACACTCGTGTGTGTATGTATTTATCCATATATATATATATATATAT